TCAGTTAAAACATCACAATTGTGTTCTTATGGAGGCAAAGATAAATAGGTGTATATTTTTCAATCTTATGTCTCTTTAATATTTGGTTCTGGAGAGGGGTTTAAATGTAAAACCTGCAACAACACTCCCTTTTTATGGAGGAGTTGGAAGAAATATACAGGCACAGTTGCTTCTTCTGAGGGCACCAAAGCTGCCAATTTTAAAATGGGTGCAGTGTTTTTTTCTGTAGCAGTAGTCTTTTCATTTGAAGCATGTTCCAAAAGGATACACTTAATCTCTATAAACCATTGCTACAAAAATGACACATAGCATACAGGTGGCCATAAACAACAAATCTGTACATCTTCTGAAGAACAAGTACACACAGAAGAAGAGATATAAACTTGTTTTAGGAGGTGGACAATAACTACTTTATCTTCCTTCCATCTATGGTTTTGCAAGCAAGCCGTCTGCATGAAAATGCCATGCACTGAAAAGGTGTCTGCAACCAGAAAACTGCAAAGATTCAGAAGGATCCATACAGGGACAGGAGAGTTACAATGCCTGAAAGCAAGTTTAAGTCTTTTTAATAGTGAATGACAGCACTGAGCAGGAAAAAAGCAACTACCAAATTCACAATCCCTCTCCCAAAGGAAACTAGTTCAATAGCACATCTTAAATCATTCTTGAGTGTTAGACACCAGGAATTAATGGTTGCTCTGGGTTTTTCGGGCTCTTTGGCCGTGTTCTGAAGGTTGTTCTTCCTAATGTTTCGCCAGTCTCTGTGGCCGGCATCTTCAGAGGACAGCAACCTCTGGACAGGTTGCTGTCCTCTGCTTTGTCACCCATGCTTTTCAACATCTACATGAAACCACTGGGAGAGGTTGTCCAGAGTTTTGGGGTTCGGTGTCACCAGTATGCAGATGACACCCAACTCTATGTCTCCTTTCCACCTAATTCTAGGGAAGCTGTCTTGACTCTAAACCAGTGCTTGGCATCAGTAATGGGCTGGATGAGGGCAAACAAACTGAAACTTAATCCAGACAAGACAGAAGTGCTCCTGGTTAGTCGGAAGGCAGATGAGGGAATAGAGATACTACCTGTGCTGGATGGGGTTACACTCTCCCTGAAAACTCAGGTCCACGGATTGAGTGTACTCCTGGATTCATCCCTAAGCTTGGATGCCCAGGTCTCGGTGGTGGCCAGGAGAGCATTTGCAGAGCTAAAGCTGATGTGCCAGCTGTGCCCATTCTTTAAGCTGCTGGATTTGGCTACAGTGACACATTCCTTAGTTACATCCCATTTGGATTACTGTAACACACACTGTGTGGGGATGCCTTTGAAGACGGTGCAGAAGCTTCAGCTGGTGTAAAACGCTACAGCCAGACTATGGACTGGGGCCAGCTACAGGGAGCATATAACACATCTGTTACAAGAACTGTCATGGCTACCAGTCCATTTCCGGGTCCAATTCAAAGTGGTGGTCATTATCTATAAAGCCCTATACAGCTTGGGTCCAGGCTACCTGAAAGACCGTATCTCCCTATATGTGCCTTCTCAGCTATTAAGATCAGCAGAGGAGGCCCTCCTCTCGGTCACATTGCCAGCACAAACACAGCTGATGGGGACATAGGAGAGGGCCTTCTCTGCAGCAGCTCCCTGTTCCAGCTATGGAACACTCTTCCTCCGGAGATCAGAAGGGCCCCTTCCCTTTTATCCTTCTGAAAAAAGCTAAAGACCCATCTCTTCAGGTAGGCTTTTAACAATTACAACTGAATCCCTGAAGCCCATTTTAAAAGATAATTTTAATATTTTCCATGTTTTAATGTTTTAATATTTTAATTTAATTTTAAATCATATATTGTTTAATTTGTCTTTTAATATTTAACTTCTTGTGTTTTTAATTGTGTGAATTTTAATGTTGTGAGCCGCTGTGGGTCCCTTGTTGGGAGAGATGCAGAATATAAATAACACAACAACATCATCATCAACAACAACTAGTAATAGTAATAGTAGTAGTAGTAATAATATTAATATTAATATTAATATTGATGATGATGTTGATGATGATGTTAGATCTATTGAAACAAACAGCTGAGTAGTAAGTCAACAATACATAGATCTCACAGATTTAATGGGTTTATGCTAGTTCAGATTACAAAATGACTTAAGTTTGCAACAGAAAATGTGGTTTGTTTGTAGTTTTTTGGGAGGAGGGAGGTTGAATGATTTTGGCTTTGCTTTTTTCAAGCTAGATGCTCTGTCTGTTCACTTTAAAGAGAAGTTTCCATTTCCTGGACAAGCATCTAGTCCAAAGAAGTCACCTTGTGCTCAAACTTCAGCTGAATTGAAGCACATCCCTAAAATTAATGATCCCTTTGACTGTGAATTACACACCTTGGTCCTAGCAAGTAATGGGGCACCTCGTTCCAGGAGAAGCTCAACGACCTGATCATGTCCACTTCGGGCAGCACAGTGGAGTGGGGTCAATCCATCCTTAAAAGAAAAGTAGGCATATGTTAAGTATGTGCTCTCATGTACATATTATACTGCACCTTGAGGCATACAGCAAATTCAGTTTTTGCAAGTTTGGCTGTGCTGGAGAATTATTTCCCACATTATCACTCTTAAATCATATTGAATATCTTCAATTGAGAACTAGCAGGTCACAGAAAGAATCAACAACAGCATGCCTACAGCAATGGGTATACTGGCCTTAAGTTCATAAACAATCAATATAAGAAAGAGTGCTTTCATAACACGTTAACGCATCACATCAACCCATTTATGTTAACTGTGATTTGCTGCCTTAGTCATGTATTTGTTTTGCAGACAAGCAAACTAACCACAGTTTGTTCTTCCCATTTTTGGAGAAGTCCCACTCCTTTCGTCAGATCCTTTCTATTCTTTTTTAAAAATAGTTATAACCCATCTTTCTTTCAATCAGCTTGAGGGATGTAATGGCTGTCCTCTCCATTCCTCAGCACTTTAGCCTCTCAACGCCAGGCAGCTGTGAGAACAAACTAGGGGGAAGCCACTGTCTTGGATTCAGATAATAGTTTAAAGATATTAGAGTCTATAAACTAATAATGAAACATAGCTCCTTAATGGTGCATTCAGCTTTCTAACAATTTGTATGCAAGGATGGCTTAACAAGTCAGAATTCAACAACTGCAACCTTACTACTATTTGCATCATCGGTCCATATCTCAATCTCCATAAGATTTGGGACTGTTTGATCTGCCACTGCTCTTAAGATAAAATAATGTACAGCAAAACATTGCTATATTTCTAATTGCTTTTGACAGAATACTAACAGTGATCAACTTAATGACATGTTATTTTGGGAGGAACATTAGAAATGGGATAGGGAATTGAAATGGGCAACACAAAATCAACAGAAGCAGTAGCTTTGATTTACTATGGCTGAACAGCTCTAACAACTGTTTGAAAAACTTGCTATGACAGCATTGTCTCTTTGCAACATTAGCTTTGCTGCAGAAGAACATCCTGTTCCAAAAAGCTTGGAAGACTTCTGTGCAGTGTAAGTTAGCAGAAGACAAGTCAATGGAAGATTTAGTGAAAAGAGTGCATTCTAGACCTTAGAGACCAAGAAATGGAGAAAACTTGAGAACAAAATTGCCATTGAACTTTAAAATCAGCATTACGAAAGAAGGAAAGTGTACAAAGAGAAATACATTTACTCAAGTAATCTTTCTAAACCTCAAGTTCACTCAACATTAAAGGGCAAAATGCAGCAATTTCAATGTGTTGTGCTTTGCAACATACAGTTTATTTTCTATTAAAATCTTAAAGCAAGAAACCAGTACATAATCACAATTAACTTAGGATCATTGATTTCAACAAACTTTTACTGCATCTAACTTGGACTGTGGCCAAGACATTTGAGATTGCTATATTTTAAAAGAGAAAATGTTTGTTCTTTAACATCTCTCATGGTGCCCTTACATGTCACATACAATTTCAACAATCTCCCTTCCCAGCATAAAGGGAAACCTTTAATTTTGTCCGTCATCTGAATTCCAGCATCTGGATCTCAAGAATACATTCAGGTTCAAACTATGCAGGAACAGAAATATAAATTCCCTGAAACTGTCATGTTCTTATTCAAACAACAGGATTCCTATAGAGATAAATACTCAGGCAGTCAGACTGGCAAATGAACACTGTGTTTACCTTCCAATGATCAACCACATAAGAAAACATGCTGGAACAAAAGATATAGAATTACATGAAAACACACCCTCATATAGCCTCTAATGAGCTGTTACCTAATTCACGCCTTAGAGTAGTGAAAACAGAAGAATATAGCTATATAATTATAAAGTTAGTTTTTTTTCCCATTTTTGACCAATTCTTCCAGAAATTTTACTCATAATGGAAATAATGTCACTGAGAAACTCTGTCAGTCTATGCAAGTATCATGCAGTATCTTACAGATTAATCTTTAGGCTTTCAAAGCATTCTCTACTACAGTTTCTTGCTGCAGGCCTATCATGGCCACCCCTCAACAGAATATGTGTGTGTGATCCTTGAGTAGCGTTAACAATATCTTCACAAGACACAGATATAAAATACCCATTCAGCCAGCTACCATTTAGTGTTGGTGATACTGGTAGTTAGTTGTACAGCTGGGAGGTCCAGATAGGACTGTTAATAACCAATATCTTCACAAGACACAGATATAAAATTACCCATTCAGCCAGCTACCATTCATTGTTGATGATACTGGCAGTTAGTTGTACATCTGGGAGGTCCAGCTAGGACTGTTAATAATCTTGCAAGACTTTTCATTCTTTGTGAGGCAGGATAGGTTGACACATTTATTTATTTACTTAAAACATTTCTCCTGAAAAATGACTCAAGGCAGCTTACATCATTAAAAGACAGTTAACACTTTCTGCTTCAGCAAAAAAAATGATTATTTTGACAAACTGTAAATTGCAATTAAATTAAAATTTTAAATTAAATTTAAACTCCAAATAAGTATAAGTAAAGAAAGTACCCCTTCACGGATTGCTGCCTTGTGATGGCGAAGGTGCTTGAGTAATTCAGAGAAGCTATGGGCCATGCCGTGCAGGGACACCCAAGACAGACAGGTCATAGTGGAAAGTTTTGACTAAACGCAATCCACCTGGATCAGGAACTGTTAAACCACTCCAGTATCCCTGCCAAGAAAACTCCATGGACAGAAACAAAAGGCTAAAAGATATGATGCTGGAAGATGAGCCCCTCAGGTCGGAAGGCGTCCAACATGCTACTGAGGAAGAGCGGAGGACAAGTACAAGTAGCTACAGAGGTAATGAAGTGGTTGGGCCAAAGCTGAAAGGATGCTCAGCTGCAGATGTGCCTTGAAGTGAAAGGAAAGTCCGATGCTGCAAAGAAAAATACTGCATAGGAACCCGGAAGGTAAGATCTATGAACCTTGGGAAGCTGGATGTGGTCAAAAAGGAGATGGCAAGAATAAACATTGACATCCTGGGTGTCAGTGAACTAAACTGGATGGTAATGGGCGAATTCAATTCAGACGATTACCATATCTACTATTATGGACAAGAATCCTGCCATATCTACTATTATGGGCAAGAATCCCGAAGAAGAAATTGAGTAGCCCACATAGTCAATAACAGAGTGGGAAAAGCTGTACTGGGATACAATCTCAAAAATGATAGAATGATTTCAATGCGAATCCAAGGCAGACTTTTTTTAACAAGCTTAAACTGAAGAAAGTAGGAAAAACCACTGGGCTAATCAGGTATAATCTAAACCAAATCCCTTATGAATACACAGTGGAAGTGAAGAACAGATTTAAGGAACTAGATTTGGTGGACAGAGTGCCTAAAGAACTATGGATGGAGGATTGTAACATTGCACAGGAGGCAGCAACAAAAACCATTCCAAAGAAAAGGAAATGCAAGAAAGCAAAGTGGCTTATAAATAGCAGAGAAGAGAAGGGAAACAAAATGCAAGGGAGATAGGAAACGTTACAGAAAATTGAATGCTGACTTCCAAAGAATAGCAAGGAGACACAAGAAGGCCTTCTTAAATGAACAGTGCAAAGAAATAGAGGAAAAGAATAGAAAGGGAAAAACCAGAGATCTGTTCAAGAAAATTGGAGTTATTAAAGGAACATTTTGTGCAAAGATGGACATGATAAAGGACAAAAATGGTAGGGACCTTACAGAAGCAGAAGAGATCAAGAAGAGGTGGCAAGAATAGACAGAGGAAGTATACCAGAAAGATTTGGATGTCCCGGACAAACCAAATAGTGTGGTTGCTGACCCTGAGCCAGACATCCTGGAGAGTGAAGTCAAGTGGGCCTTAGAAGCATGGCTAACAACAAGGCCAGTGGAGGTGATGGCATTCCAGTTGAACTATTGAAAATCTTAAAAGATTTAAGGTGCTACATTCAATATGCCAGCAAGTTTGGAAAACTGAGCAGTGGCCAGAGGATTGGAAAACATCAATCTACATCCCAATCCCAAAGAAAAGCAGTGCCAAAGAATGCACCAACTACCATACAATTCCACTCATTTCACACGCTAGCAAGGTTATGCTCAAAATCCTGCAAGGTAGGCTTCAGCAGTATGTAGACCAAGAACTCCCAGAAGTACAAGCAGGGTTCCGAAGGGGGAGAGGAACTAGAGACCAAATTGCTAACATGTGCTGGATTATAGAGAAAGCTGGAGAGTTCCAGAAAAACATCTACTTCTGCTTCATTGACTACGCAAAAGCCTTTGACTTAGCAAGTTCTTAAAGAAATGGGAGTGCCTGACCATCTTATCTATCTCCTGAGAAATCTATATGTGGGACAAGAAGCAAAAGTTAGAACAGGATATGGAACAACCGATTGGTTCAAAATTGGGAAATGAGTACGACAAGGCTGTATACTGTCTACCTGCTTATTTAATTCATATGCATCATACACCATGCGAAAGGTTGGACTGGATGAATCCCATGCCAGAATTAAGACTGCCAGAAGAAATATCAGCAACCTCAGATATGCAGATGATACCACTCTGATGGCAGAAAGTTAGAAGGAATTAAAGAACCTCTTAATGAGTGTGAAAGAGGAGAGCGCAAAAAAATATTAACAAAGATTAAACAAATACCACGTATACAAATACTAACAAAGATCAAACAAATACCACGCTAAAATGCTAAACAAAAGCAACACCAAAGACACACTCAAAATAGTAAGGCACAATAGTCACTATTATTTAAACACCCCACTCAAGCAGCCAGTCACTGATGGAAACCCTGTAAGAAGATAAAATCTTTGCTTGCTTGCAGAAGGATAGCAAGGATCAGAGCCTCACTGGGAGGGAGTTCTAAATCCTGAGAGCAGCAAGAGGGAAGACCCTCTCCCATGTCCCCACCAAATGCACCTGTGAAAGTAGAAGGACCAAAATAGAGATAACTCAATCAATACAGCCTGTCAAGTAATTACTGGTTCTAGCCAGAGTTCTAATCTCCAGCATTACTGGATGACTGCCGGAAATACACAAAAAGCCATTTAATATTGTCATTTTTAAGTTCATGCAACAAACCAGCAGCTATACAATTTTGAGCAAATGCTTCATTTCAGAATGTGCACAAGAAAGTCTGCAGAAAATGTATCACTATTTCACAGACATGGAGAACTTTTTTTGTGGTGTCCCTATCTCACATGCAAGAAAGTGACAGTGAAGACTTTCAGCTGTAGGTCAAGTTTCATAATTACTGTCAGCAAACAGGCAAATCTATCATTTAGCACCATCTCTATTTCCAAGAAGTACATCAATAAAACAACTTCATTCCTTTTCTTTGCAATATTTTTGAGCAGCATACATTTTGCATGGTTTTGTGTGTGTGTCCCTCACTGCCTATGTCTAGCATGTTTTGCCTGAGTTTCATTTGTGCATGTAGTTTGTATATTTTGTCTGTCTGTGTATTTCGCTAGAATTTTATTTGTATGTGGTTGTGTGTGATAGATGGGTGTCTTATTGGAATATGTTTCTCTAAGCATCATTAGCTTGCTTTTGTGAAAAAATGTTGGTGCATAAAAAGGTATTTTTTTAAAAAACTCTGTGCCTAACACTTATCTTCTGAAAAATGTTGGTGCATAAAAAGGTATTTTTGAAAAAAAACACTTTGATCTACTTTTCATTTAACTTCATCAAATTGCTTTTTGGGAAACCAGTGTTATGTGAATGAGCAAATAGTCACAGCAATGCTATCAGCATGCATATGAAAACTATGAATCAAAATTCCAAATATACCTGCCAGTCCCCAAAGTATTCTGTCCTAAGATATACAACATACATAGGAGTGATGCGTAATGAAACTATAGGACAACATCACAATAAAACATATCCAAAGTATAAAAACAGAAGAATACCTTAAGGAGCCTAGACACTTGAGTAGGATCATAGACTAATTGAGATGGAAAGGACCTATAAAGGCCATCAAGTCCAACTCCCTGCTCCATACAGAAATCCAAATCAAAGCAGATCAGACAGACGGTTCTCCAATTTTCTTTTGAATGCCTTCAGCACTGGGGTGCCCACCATCTCCACTGTTATACTGCTCTAACAGCTCAGATATTTTCCCTGATATTCAGCCTAAATCTGGCTCCTTGTAGCTTGAGTCCATTATTATGTTTCCTGCACTGTGGGATTCAGCTGCTTTGGGTCTCTTGTTGGGAGAAATACGGCATATAAATAAAACTAATAATAATAATGATCGAGAACCATATGTTTTATCAAGTGCTTTAATAAGAGCAATAGCTGATTAAACCTAGTGTCCTAATGATGCCAATTGCTAGTTCCCCATTGACATGAAGAGGAAATTCCAAGAAAAAAGACTCCGCAGAGGGCCCTTGGACATAATGACCTTTCCTGGCCAAAAGAACCCCAAAACAAAACCCAAACAAAAACAAAAGAGCAGTTTCCTCAGAGGCTGTAGATAGGCTGCTATATGAAAATTCACTCACTCCATTTTTAAAAATCTCTGAACAAGTGAAAAACTGCTGGAATACGTGTGATTTGGTATGTAGAAACTAGGGAGGCTAGTGGCCTCCCTAGAAAGATTTGTCCTTTCTCATAAAGTCATTTGATTATTGTTGCAGATATTTGTGTGTATTGTACAATTTGACATCCCACATAGGATGTGGTGAGTTAGAGGAAAGGAAAATGAGGCCATTTTGCCAAGATTGGATTGTGGATTCTCAAACCATTGGGGGAAAGGCTTGCACGTTAGCCTGGCCCTCCAACTGACGAATGCTGAAGCTAGGAAGATTGGTAATTGGATCCTAACGTGAAAGAGAGAGGGGTAACCGTTTTCTCCTTGAAAACTGGGAAATGCCCCATCTTTCAAAATTTTGGCTTTTTATTATCCTATTTATTTGTGGCCACAGCAAAACAGACAAAATAACGATGAAAGAAAATACATAAAAGGGGAGGGGGGAAGCTTGACACAAAGCCTTCTGAGAGAGGTGTGACAGTGACAAACAAAACTAAAGCTCTGGAATCGCCCCCACTGGAAAGTGCGTAAAGCTGTCACCTGAATGTCCTGCAGAACGCAAACAGAAAAAGATGCTCAGCCTGTGCAAACCAGGATGCCAGTGCTTTGTGATGCTCTCTGGGTTCTGTTTCAGTGTTCCCGTGCTGGCAGCTTTGAGTGACATGACCAGCTGACAGGGGTGATAAGCCAAACAATGAATGCCTTTTAAAATTAGATTCTTTGTGAGGAATTGGAGGTGGTTTTGCATAGGTCATGTGATCCAAGGCTGCACTTTGATCCAGCTGGCTTAATAAAGAGCCAGGTTCAGAAGGTATGAAATAATGCATAAAGGAAGTAAGATGTAACTTGTAGAATCTCAGTGGGCTTTCATGGCTGGATGGAACAGATGCCTGAACTAAGCTTTTAAAATACTTATGTCTACAACTATATCCCAGAACTAAAACTCCATGAATAAAAATGCACTTGCTTGTTTCCACCCATTTTCTATGCATAAGACTCTCCCTTGTCTCTTTTTTCCAAGTACAGAAATATTGCTTGTTTTTCTGCATTAGTATTGCAAAGCTTTCTTTTGCAACACAGCATCTAATTCTACAAATAAGCTTCATATGGAACACAGGAAACTGCCTTTCACAGAGTAAAGCTATCAATTCATCTAGCCTAGTATACTTTGATCCACCAAATTCCTTCCCACCAAATTCCCTTCCCTCAAATCTTTCCATGGAGCTTGAATACATATTCTTACTAGCACTACAGTTTTTGTGACCCTCCTCTTTCCCTCTTTCAGGGTGCCACCTTGGAAGCTGAAAAGGCACACCGTGTTTCACCCTCAAGCTCTGCCATTGATAGAGAGGGAGAGCAAAGAAAAGGAGGGTGATACTCTGTAGAGCTTGGGAAACAATTTTGGGGATAAAGAGGGGGTGATGCTTCTGCTATGATTGTTAAAGCCCTGTTCTTCCTGCTTTGAAAATAACATGGGGAAAAATGGATTTCAGACACCTGCACAGCAGTCAAAGGTAAAGGCAGAAAGGTTCAAGCTCATAATGAGCTCAGAAAGAAACCCTTTGTGAGTTACAGCATTCACAATAGTTGTCAAGGATCTGATTCTTCTTCCTCTGCTCAACTTCTCTTTCTCTCTTCTGTAGGCTCTTATTTTAGTTGTATTTGGTACAATGACCTCCATGAAGTCTGGCTCCAGTCATGACTGGTTACATGATCACCATCGTCTTTGTGTCTGTATCTCTTTCTCTCTGTGTGTGCTTCATGACACATGAAGTTCCTGACCCCAGACACAGCTTGAAGTGTCACCCTAAAGGTCAAACAGTTTCTACTCCCCTTGCCCAAGTGGAAAGCACATCAGCTTCCAGGGGGTGTTGCATCTGATTTTCACTAATGCTGCTTACTGAATTCAGTTGACCATTCCCAAAAGCTGCTCTTGATGGATGTGTATAGTTTAACATATACCAAGTTTAACATTACCAAGTCGGTAATGAGTATCAGTGAAAACTGAGTCCCCTGCCTTGTTCTTGAGAAAGCACTTGCTACTAGCACAAAACCACCAACAGACGCAACCCTTTTCCAGAGCACCACCCAGAATTTGGATTGCTGGCCTGTCTAAAATGCCTAAAATTTCACTAGGTTAAACAAGCAATAATGCTGTCTATGTGGCTTGGATCTTTAAAAAATCATATTTTGAATAAATTTCCCTTCATGGAATAAGTTTTCACCAAAGGAAGGAGCACTGAATAACATCTTGGATGAATGAAACTGTACTTTCATTCATACGAGATAGACTTGGAATTAAAACCTCTATGTAAATTCATGAGTTTAAGAAGGGGAGTACCTAAAGGAATGCACCTTATTGTTTTGTATTCAGGCCCACATCTAAACAAAAAGAAGGAAAAGAGGGGGGAAATGCATGATGACATACATTCAGGGAAAAGAAACACTCACCCTGGTTTTGGCATCGATCTGCCCTCCACGATCCAACAAGAGCTTCACCATATTAGTGTTTCCCCTTTTGGAAGCCACATGCAGTGGGGTGATTCCATTCTACACCATGAAAAGAACAAACAAAAAGCATGATGGGCTTGAAGAGGTTCAATGGGAATGGCTTTGCGTTTTGACAAGATGCAGTCAAGAAGATAAGAAATGAGGCATCACAGCATACAAGAAACAGGAAACATCCTGTCTTAAAGCAGTTTTACTGCTATGGAGTGTTAACAGTGCAAAGTGTATTATAATTATACTTATATATTTTAAACTTAATTATAGTTACATATTATAGATATGTATTATATCTGCTGGGAGAAAATCTGATCTACATTATGCTTAACATTTTGTTTGAATAAAGAGACATTTAATGCCGTAGCTGTAATTAATGACAACTAGATATTGATAGCAATTTTATATTTAAGCTTTTAATGTGTTCATTAAATATCTGAAGAAACTGCAACTTCTAATATTGAAAACTTAGTTTGAATGCAGTACTGTCAATCCAAATCATGTAAATCTAATGAAAGCATATACATACATATTTTAAAATATGCTAACATTTTAGGGGTTGGGGGATTCTTTTTCTGATTCTTAAAGCAGCAGCAACAAAAACAACTGCCACAACATCAAATGTCACATTCACACAATATGCAAGACAGATAAAGTGTCCACACTAATCAATATTCATAACATATGTACTTAAATACATAAGCAACACATAGTCAACATTAGTCAACACACAATGAAGCCTATTACCATCACATACATTAACTGCATAGACGTTCTTAATAAAGATTAGAAGATTTTTGTCTCATCTTTTATTTGTGACAGTTGTCCTTACACATATTTTTGATGGGAATTAGCTCTCTCGTTGGGAAACCAGAACAAAATACAAAATAGCTGAAATTTTAATTGTCATAAAAAATGAGAGGAACTCTGAAAAACATTCTTTACCTAGTTCAGAGGCAGGTATTAAAAAAAATAAAACTGATGCACCATTTCATGTGTATGCAGTGAATGCAGGGCTGACCATCTCCAAGAAGTGGTGAGCCAAGCTTTCAGGCTTTGTGCTATGTAACAGTAGGAAAAAAAATACTTGTTCAATTGTACGCATGCTTTTCTAAAAGTAAGATATATTGAGTTCAATTGTAACTGTTTAGGATAAAGGCTCTCCCCTTCATAAGTTGATGATGAATTGCTGGTCCCATCAAATTGACTAGGGTTTATGTTCAATAGGGGAAACAACCATCTTTGAAGAACCATAAGTTTCTCAGTCCTGGTAGACAAGATGCCATTTAAATCAGGGGTCTCAAACTCAATTTACCTGGGGGCCGCTGGAGGCAGAGTCTGGGTGAGGCTGGGCTGCATTAGATTTTCCACCAAGCGGATCAAGAGCCCGAGGAAGCCGCCCAGGAGTTTACTTAGCCCATCTGGGGCTACAGGGAGGAGGAGGGGGTGTGTGTGAGCCCTTGTTGCTGGCCACAACCCCCTCCGGCTCCTTCTTTACTACCACCACCACCACCAGCAGCAGCAGGACGAAGAAGCAGAGAAGGGAGGGAGCGCCAGCGACCACCTAGCTGGGGGGGGGGAGGGCACGGCATAAAATATTTTTAAAAAGCCCTCACAGAATTCGCCTTGCCAAAGGAGAAAAGCCCCCACTGGTACCTGCAAAATTAAACAGAACAGAGTGGCACCCACAGGTGCGCTCGTGTGCGCACGCACACACAAACACACACACACACACACACACAGAGGTCCGGCAACCTTCCTCTGAGGCCCCCCGCCCCCAAATAAAGGCACACTCAGCAGCAGCAGCTATCCCCACCACGACAGAGGAGCAAACTTTGTGAGGCGAGCCCATGCAGCCTCCAGAGCTGAGGCGGCTGAAGCAAGATGAAGAGGAGGAGGAGGAAGCACCACTGGGAGCTGAGGCGGCAGCTGGCCGGGCTAGTGCTGGGGGTGCCAAGAGAGAAAGAGAGCCAGAGAGCCACTTCCCTGGAAGAGGTGGCGGCAGCAGCTGCTGTTGGCGGGTTGGAGGGTTAGTGGCCTTGGCAGTGGCTCGGGCGTATGGGGAAAAGGGCCGGCAGCATGCCTCGCTCACTGGCTCTCCCCCAAGACAGTGCCTCTTGCACCCTTCAGACAGGCGGGCTGGCTGGCAGGCTGCAGTTCCAGATGGAGGGTGCGAGAGGCGCTGTCTTGCAAGAGAGCCGGCGAGCTAGGCAAAGTTTTTTTTTGACTCTTGACAGCAGATGACGCGTGGGTGCTTCGGGGGGGGCAGGCAAGGCAGGGGCCACAAACTATCATCCGGCGGGCCGCAAATGGCCCCCAGGCCGCATGTTTGAGACCCCTGGTTTAAATCAATCTTCCTAGTCTCTCTGTCATGACAGCTTCTTTTCAGTGCACATGTGTGCATGTAACCCTAACAATAGATGCATTCATTTGTGTAGGTAAGATGGATATTATTAACTTATCCCTTGCATCGCACCCCACCTCATCCCACTTTATTTTCTAACTGGGGAAAAATGCTCAAATGGCTAATAATTTGGAAAATACAAAAGAAACAAAATCTACACCAATACATTGCCATTTATATTTTATTAAATGGATTTTTTCAAACTAGTTATAATAAATACATTTCACTGTCTGCTGAGGTGGTCGTGTGTCCTCCTTTAAAAGGGCTAATCCTTCTTTTTGGTGGCATGCAGATGGCCACCCTATGCATCCCCCACAGTGCACTTTCCTGGCTGAGCAGGGAAATTGCAGGTTTCTATTGGTAAATATATCTAATCAACCCTTTTTCATTTTTGAAGTACAATGATAGCAGGCGGCTCATTTTGAAAGAAAAGATGCAAACCGCACACAGTGATATATCTACTGATGAATGGCAGGAAAGATACGGCAGGGCATGTCAAATCTGCATGATATTCCCCTGAGGTAGCACATTCCATCAACTCAGCACCACAGTAAAGAAGTGTAGTGGTACCTAACTACTATACATGGAGTAAAATCCTAAATTTACAGTGACACCTAAGCAGGTTTATATGAGAAAGCAATAAATCATAAAAACATGTGTAGAAACATGTACATCCTTGCAGTAGTTGAACTGCAATGAGTTTTTGTTTTTACTGAATAGTGTAACAAAGATACTTCATTAGCAGGGAAAAAATTAAGGAGACAAGACCTATGCATATGTGTAAACTACGTGTCTACAAAGTAATGACTGTGTGGTATCTCCTTCAGTGGAGATTCATCAGATTGCCATTAATAATGTTAATTATTCCACTAATTTGTATGTGGGCTACTGGGATACATATGAAATGTATACTATTCTGACCAAAAATGTTCTGTGCACTGATAAAACGAACCTATTACAGTCTGTTGCTTTCCAACTGTGAAAGATGTCTTGTGTTATGGACCACCAAGTCAATATCAATTTATGTTTACCCTAATAGAGCTTCTGAGGTACATGGGATATTCAAAGATTATTTTTACCACTGCAGCCCCCGCCCCATGAGTTTCCATAACCAAACTGGGATTTGAATCTAGGTCTCACATGTGTTAGTCAACACTCTATCACACTTTGCTGCCTCAAAAAAAACACATCTTATTTGTTGCTTGGTTTCTGCAGAATAAATGTAAGGATCATTCATTTTAAATCAACACTAAATCAGATCTGTGAATAGAAAAACCTTAGCACTTCTGCTAAGAATATTTGGACATTTAACTAATGTTGACCTGCCCTTTCTCTGATCATTTATGTTTGAAAAAGTAACCCAAGTAGCCAATCCATACCCTGGCTGTGAAATCCACTACAGCTCCACGGTTGAGCAGAAGTGTTGCGACATTAACATTCCCATAGTGTGCTGCTATGTGCAAAGGTGTGAAGCCACTCTGAAAAGGAAAAGGAAACAGTTCAAAATCAGAGAACAACCATTTTTTGCATAAGGATTTTTCTTGTGAAAACTGAAAGCATGTTAACTCAAAGCAAAAACACTGCCTGAGTCAACCAGGATTATTTCTACTCTTTCCTGCAACAGATAACCAAAAGCATGATTTATTAGTTTAGTTATTTAATATTCAGGGTTTTTTAAATTAGTTTGTACAAAGAAGCCCATTTTCTCCTGAACTTATAAGGGAAAGGAAAGGACAAATCCTTGATTCTAGCAGGAAATGAGGCTTCTAAGCATTTAACTTTATGGAAACATCAGGATCACGTAGGTTAATTAGTTGCACATCGAGATGCCTCATCTCACAATGATAAAATGCAGTGAAAAGCTATTGGCCATGCTTGGAAACTGGAGTGTTGTAGTCCAAAAATGTAACTTCCAAGTTTTGAAAACATGGATGCTTTTGCTTGCAAAGAAGCCTATTCCATTTGGGCTTTGTGATCACTCCTTATGAATCCTGACCAATATTTTTCTTAAATACGAAATTATTTTTGAGGCCAATAGATTGTTAGCCCAACATAAGTATTGCTTTAGCAAGAAAGGCAGTGCTTATTTTTATTGTGTCACTAAAACAATGAAATAAATGATAGCATTAAATGACTTCAACATGAAATTGTATCCCAGTTCTATACACTATACAGAAAAAAGCTCTTTTAGAAAATTCTCTCTCTCTCTCTCTCTCCTCAACCTTTCAAATAAACTTTTTAAAAATGTCTGGGTAGGGTAAAGGTGTAGCAGAGGTGATGGTTGCACCACTGTGTGTAATCCACATAATAGCCATGTGGTAAACCATTACATAATTTAAAGGAGAAAAAGCTGGTTGACTCAGGCAGTGTTTAATTTGGAACTGCATCCCAATGATCTCAGGATTTTTGAATTATTGCAGAAGTTGGAGATCCACATAAAAAGTGGAGGCCATCTGCCGGGACCTCTCTCCTTTTTTTAATACAGTGAGTCGAGCTGAGATGTCCAGCGCTCCGTCTGGTCCGGTGATACTTGACTCCTTTCAGCCTGTCACGCCAGACTGTGTGTCCAGGGCGATTGATCGCTGGCGTGCCACCACCTCCTTTTTGGACCCTTGCCCGGCCTGGCTAATCAAAGCAGCCAGGCCTTTAACAACGGAATGGGCCACAGTAATAGTTAATAGGTCTCTCCTTGAGGGCAGATTTCCATCTGCCCTGAAGGACACACTCATTAGGCCCATCAGGAAGAAACCTAGTTTGGCAGCGGATGAAATTGGCAAGTATAGGCTTTCGCCAATGTTTATTTCTTAAGCAAGGTGGTTGAGAGGGTGGTGGCCGATCAGCTTCAAGCGCTCCTGGATGAAACAGATGCCCTGGATCCGTTTCAGTCGGGCTTCAGGCCGCGCCATGGTACAGAAATGGCATTGGTCGCCTTGTGTGATGACCTACTGAGGGAGGCCGACAGGGGCAAAGTGTCTCTGCTGGTCCTCCTCGACATCTCAGCGGCCTTTGA